GTTCGACACACACCTCCACTCTTTCCTATTCTTCTAGCTAATCTTCGCATTTCTCTAAAGCTAGAACATCCCACATCCTTAACTATTTACGAACAGTAATCTTGTGTAGCTTTACCTCTACTTCTTTTAACTCCTATTTCTGCCTCTAATATGTCTCTGGCTAGACTTTGATGCCTGAGAAGGTGTCCTACCAATCTATCTCGCCTATTTCTTATTGACTTCCATAGAGTCGTCTGTTCTTCTGTTCTTTCTAATACCTCTTCATTTCTAACCTTTTCTACCCACGGTATCCTCATCATTCGCCTATAACACCACATTTCGAACGCTTCTAACCTTCTCTTTTCCGCCGCGCCCATCGTCCATGTTTCGCACCCATACAACACCGCGCTCCAAACATGCACCTTTAACAAGCTTTTTCGAATTTCTAAATTAACCGATCGCGAGCATGGAAGTGACTTCTTTTCATTGTAGGAGACTCGAATCAAGCCAGAATAAATAGTTAAATTAATATTAACATTACTTGCCAAAAATCTTAAAGTTTTTATAAAGAAAACAGCAAGAAAATTTGTGAAAAAATTACCAACGAATTAAAAATAAATTAATAACATTAAATGCACTTAATTGAATTACGAATTTTTATTTGATTTTACTTTATTTCTCCAGTAATATTACGAGATTGCGACCAGGATAAGAAGAAGCTTATTTCAAACGCCCTGTAAACGTCTGGATAATGTTCGATTGAGCGATTTCGCTTATTGGAAAGCAATAAAGCAGGGAGAACATTGTGCGGGAATGCGCAGGCCATTATCAGACACACATTATACAGAAACGTTGGCAAAGGCCCGGGTTGCCCGCCTTTCAAATTTCAATCTCACGTCAAAAGATATTGAATTCTGCACTAGCTAATAATGTGCCCTCGCTAAAGGCAACTTTCTTATTTAATTCACATAAAATCGGCTTTACTTGCTGCCCCCTTTACCCTTTGTCAGATGAATATCTATTCAAGAAAGGCCAAACGATTTATTGACGAAAACTCTTTATCAATTCAAAATTTTCATTACTTTTCATACTTGCAAGGCACAAAGGTTATTGCGAGTTTGCGGTGACACATTATTTTACAATGAATCTCAATTTACGGACAAAAGCGTTTAGTAATAAATCTTGGCAAAACCAGGTTAAGGTAGGGAATGACAATTATAGGCCAGTCTTCAAAATTTCCATTTTGTAATGGATAATTTGTTAAAGATCAACTTGATCAACTCACTAAGAATGTAGAGAATGTATTAAAAACTATCATCATGGTAGGAATTGACAATTATTGGTGTAAGTCTCAAACACTTCAATTTACAGAAGAATTGAACTCAGTAATGAACAATTTAGTAATAATTGAGTTAGAAATTCGGTAAGAATGTAGAGAGTCATAGAAACTAGTGGAAAAGGAACGAGATGGTAGAGAATGACAATAACTGGCAAGTCTTAAATAATCCATTTTACATCAAAATGAGACCAATAATAAATAATTTAGCGAGGATTATGCTAAATATTCATTAATGATGGAGAGGGTAATAAACCATGGGAAAAAAGAGGTAAAATAATTAGTAATTCTTAAGCATTTCAATTTGCGGGGAAGATGCGTGAGATATTACACGATTTAGCGAAGGTTTAGTTAAATACTCAATAAAAATGTAGACAAGGCAATAAATATTACTGTAGAAGAAAGGGGGTGCATGTTAATAAATAGCGACGGTATGTATTTACTAAAGTTTCCGTTGAGTACGATGCAAATTACGAATTTCAATTCCGTAATGGTATTTATTTTTCTTTCTAACAGATGAGAGAATTTGCATTCTTATGCATATTTTAATTTCGATACCGCCGGTAAAGATGAAAAGCTCGGTGTTTTTGCATAATCCCAGATCATACTGCTTACTCGTTGAAAGTCACTTATCTATCTCAAGAGCACATACATTAATATAAATAAAAGATGTCTAAATTGTATGTATGTTTAGTCATAGTATATTCAGTATATAGTTACATAAGTTCGACGGATTTGTGAACTAATAAGTACGGTTTGTCGTTGTTGCTGTTGTCACCTCTCGTAGCTTAGTGGTCAGAGCATTGGTGCGTAAGGCCAAAGGTCCCGGGTTCGATTCCTGGCGGGGGTGTGACAACAGCAACAATTTTTCCCTCATTAATAAAAAATTCGGAAATGAATTTTCAGAATAATATTTCAAATATTAAACTAACTCACTTCTAAAAAGATGTCTAAATTGTATGTATGTTTAATATAAAAAGTTTCGTATACATAAGTATCCATATACATCTAGTAAAAGTACGATACACATAATTAAGATACTATAAAAGAATATAAAATAGGGTAGCATATATACAATCCCTCTTCGTTATACTTGTGACGACGTTACGTGGCTTGAACAATTTAAAACAGCTCGATCGTAAAAAAACGCGATTGTTGATTGCTTTAAAAACGATTATTACATTTCGGACGTGACGAAGTGACGTAGAGGGTTGTTAATTGCACGGGGCGTATGGTCGTCGCGGCGCACTAGACAAAATTGCCGATTATTAGCGGAGCAATTTGAGCAGTCGAAATCCGGATTTAATGACATTAATAAATGTGTAATCGCACATCAATTAAAATGTATTTCAGTTGTCGACGGAAGTACGTGGACAACTTACCAATCCCATTATTTATTTAACGGTAAATTATAAATAATTTCCATTCGACAGGGCCGACTGGCTTAATGAGTACCGAGTATACAGTACCCGTGGCGGTGGTGGTCGTGTTTGTACAGCGACAAATTAGATATTCTACCGAACATGTATGTGAGTGTGCAATTTCGATCTAACTTGATTAGTTAAACAAATGATCAGGGCTAAATAATCAAGTGATAAAACAAGATTATTCAATATCCCCCGTCTACGTGTTTTGTTACAGCGGGAATTAGATGAGAAAATCGGAGATATCAGTTCATGTCGGGAAATACCCGCCAGGATAGAAATTAGCGCCTAATTTTTCTGATAGCATTTGTTACCGTGGGCTAAAATTTAACATATTTTCAAACAAACAACACGATTTATCGACGACTTCACGTGTAAATCACGATTTCGAATTTATTAGGTCTCATCAGTACGCCGTAAGTCAAACCAATGCTGATCCATGCAAACAAGTTGATTAATATCAAGTAACTTACAGTACATCGCCATCTGTACGTACTTACTGCTACCTATAGTGTTTAACAAGGTCTATTTGAAGATATCTACAATTTCTAATTAAAGTTCGAAATCAATATATTGCCGTTTTTCATTTGTATATATACAGATTTACTCAACGGATTTAAGAAATTTTTAGTAAAATTTATTTTCATGAAAACGTATCGTAAAAGTTGCACCCTTAAAAGTTTTTATTTTATTCGGTAATTAGCTATGATGTTTAATGGCGTAATTACTGTGACCAGATATACATCTGACATCAAAAACTTACCTTTCTACGTAATATTTAAAATGAGAAGACGTGAAAGAAAAAGACGGTGCATAAACGTTTTGATGCAATTAAAAGGTTTGAAATTTTGAAAATTCATCAGGAAATTGGAGTCGTACTCGGCGTCTGGGCTCGTACATATTAATAAGGGCTTAGCATTACCATATTTTGCTGGATTTATAGGTGCGAACTTTAAGCTAATTAGAAATTTCAAACTTTTAATTTTTGTGCACCGCTCTGGCCAAACGTTCAGTTTTTACTTTTTATATTAACAGGAGAACCTACGAACAGGCATATTCCTGTTCATATAGTGATTGACAAGATGACTATTTTGTCAAAAACTATGAAATTAAGAACTTATTGTTCCCTATTTTACGTAATATAAAAAATATAGAATACTAGAAACACATTCTAACTACACAGCGACAACAGCAATTTACCAAAACCAAAAGAAAAAAAATTCTACTCACCGCCCATAGTGGTTTTAATGGAACAATTTTTGGAATATATCTTCAGTCCTTTTTTGGCTTCTTCATTAGCCTAGTCCCTAGTAGATATCATAGAATTGCGCTTACATAATACATAAGTCGTTAGTACACTGCAATTATTACATTCAAGTCCAGAAACTGGCTGAATGGACAATAACGAGCTCACGAGGCAGTGACATCACGATAACTCAGTTTCTTTTATGGATACCGACATAAGATGATTACCTTTTACTTTATTCAGATACATAAAAGCTCATTTGATTAGTTGAGACATAAAATACGTTGACAAATAAACAAAATTATTAAATATATGTAAATTAACATTTTAACGAGTCAAAAACATGCTGAAATTTTCATATTGAACGAGTAATGTCGATGACACTTGACACGTGCACACATGTATATATTTTATATGGATTAATTCGTGCTACAACATCAAACTGTTTCATTACTGTGTCTATTAATCCTTTACCCTCTTCATGTAACTTAATTTGCTTTTAATAAACGATATATTACAAAGTGATAATTTTTAATCAAAGATAATGGAAACTTTAAATTTTGACTTAATTTTCAGAATTTTTGGTAACCATCCTTTGTCTGTATCTAAGATGATTGTCTTGTAATCATTTAAAATATTGCAACACTTATGGCTTTTACATAATTTGCTATTTATACCAATATACATTCTGTCAAGTTTGATAGCCCAATAGAGGAAGTGGTTTTTCAAAATTAAATCACTTTCGTAACTGTTTTAACTGATCCAAACAGAAATTTGTGTGAAGAAATAGATAACAAAAAAGTATGAGTAAATAAAAATTATCGAAGGATTCAAGGAAAACATTTTGGTTCTTAATTGAGAATAATAAAATAAGTGAAGTAAGAATAAAATAAGTACTTCCTTACCTGATAATTAAAAATGTAATAAAACGTAATAAAAATTATCGAGGGGATCATACAAGAAAATAAACAAATAAACGCAAATATATAAAAAATAAAATAAAAAAGGAACATACCTATGCCAAAGGGTACTTGTAACGTAACCACCTCTTCCATGGTTTACAGCAATCTTACACTTTCGAAGTAAGAACTAATGCAAGAGGCAAGTCTTTAAGTACCTAGCCTTCGTTTCACACAATACGTCTTTCAATTTCAAGCGTCACATTAGTAGGTCTATTCATTAATTAGTTTAAGTTTAGTTCGTAAAAGTGCATTCAACTGAACATTTTAAAATCGTTACTATGTATTGTATTAGTTAGTCGTCGAATAACACCACGAATTGTCACCTCGCGCATTACGAAACAAACAATCACAAGAAGGCACCGACAGATTACAAGTAGTGAGCAAAAGGACGGATTTTCCGGGGTAGAGTCGTTCTCATACGGTCGTTTCCCGATCCACGTGAATATACTCGACGGGGGGAGCTATTTTATGTCAAGAATTCAACGACGAGTCGAGGAGACGCGGACCGGTCAGCATCTTTTTTTTTGCTAATTTACGACGACGCTTCACTCGAATTTTGTGTATCGCGACACACGCGAGGAACAACAGCGAGCACAGTATCGCGGCCGCGACCGCCAACGTGGCGCCGGGTAGCGACGTGAGCAGCTTCGACGCCGAGCCGCATTGAGCCTCGGACTCGTCGTACCCTGATGGACAGTGGTCTTTACTGTCGCACCACAGAGACGAGCTGATGCACGCGTCCAATTCCGGACACCTGTACGGACACTCCAGTTCGGTGTCGTTTTGGCTAGTGTTCAGGGGCACCTAGAAATAAATTACTACGGATAACATTATCAAACAAGTTCGAGGAACCCTGCAAAACAACCTTTCCTCAGGAAACTATTTTTCATCCCGTACCTAATACGTAAATGAGCTGAGATATTATCAAAAGTCCATGAGTTAGTTAACTTTGAAATCACCCATTTTAACCCCATGAACCCATTTCCAGTTGAACGATCTTATTAATTAATCTGAAAGAGCCCTCTTTAGATACGTTTGAAACATCATTCTAATCATCCCCTTGTTCCAAAATCAAAAGAGATATTAATGACACATGAAAGGTGACAAGTCCTCGGCAATTCAAGTCGTCTCGAAAATATCTGAAAGTTTTTGATAGACAGATGTTAACATATTATCCTTACCTGAAGCTGCTGCAAAAGAGACGATCTGGGCCTAGAGATTTCCAGCCAGTGAAGTGCGGCGATTCCCGATTCCCGGCTGACCCACTCTATCAGGAAATTGGGTGGTTTCAATCGGGTGTGTAAATCACCCTCTCCCCACCATTCCTCGCTGAAAACGTGGACCGCTAAGGGACGCGATCCAGGTTCCGCAGGACAGAGGGCTTTCACAACTTTAGGTGGCCGTCCCGAATAGATCAGGATCCTGTTTTGAGTAGGACATCTCGTGGCTTCGTCCTGTCTCAGTTTAAGAGGGAGAAAAGCGCCCCACGAAAGAATGAACAAACTTTTATTGGCACGCGCTTCGATCATCCACGGCAAACCGGCACATAGTAAGTCCGATCTTTGTTCGGGTGGACTCGTGAATCGAATTTCGCCCCCGTCACCCAAAAGTTTTTGCTTCCGAGGACAATCAACCATCCGTATGAGCTCGAACGTGGCGTGAAAGTACAAGTTCGTGAAGTCTTCGGTAATGTTCATGTCATTCGCGACGAAATGGAGTTCTAAAGCTCGAGAGGACGAGAGGAACACCATGGGCTTGGACACTAGACTGGAGTTGTCGCACAAGCAACCCCTGGGAAGCTTAATATCTCGCCACGGCACCTCCCAAACGCTCAATTCCGCTATGCGGGAATCCGGATGATGGTCGCAAACCGATCTTCCCGAATGACCGTCGATTCCGGTGACACAGGTGGGATCTAGGCCGAAAGACGCGTTATTTACGATAAGCCTCACACGTTCACTGGGTCCCGCTTCGAATCTGTACACACAATTCAAATTTCGCGCCCCACCGCGCCCGTAAAGGAACACATTTCGAGGAACAAACACGTCTCCTACATGTTGCTTTCGGAAGACGCGATAGCACGGGCCCTTTTTCTCTCTACTCGGCCACAACTCCCCTTCGAAACGAACGTCTACGAACTCGTATCTCAGTCTAAACGAAGCCGGATGTAATGCGGTCCCGTCTTCAGTGTGATGTTGAAGCACCAAGTTTCTCCCGGTGGAGATGTAACTTTCCGAATCCGAACACGGCCTCGTGAACCTGGTGGCGTTACTGAGGGCTGTGTGATCGCATAATCGCGGAGGCTCGTCACATTTGTCTTCCAGAAGCACTTTTCCGTCCCAGACGCGTAATTTGGTCGCACAATTTCCACTTGTTCCGTTCCCCAGCAAGGCATGAGCAGCATTTTCCCCAACAAGAAGAGCTCGTTGGCTGTACGACACAAAACTGATCCAAACGAGGTCGTTGGGGAACCCCTTGAAGCTGTAAGTGCACGTGGTGTTGGGCGGTAGGGAATGACGGGTGCTCAACAGCTCTCCTCTCCTGCCACGTCCAGTCCAAACTTCATCCCCGTCAGGATCGGTGGCGTTCAACTCGAAATTACACCCGGCAGCTTCGTGAGAAAAATCCAAAGAGTCCGAGTCGACGAAAACGATTTCCACGTCTAATTCGAAACCCCTCAGGGGACTTTGCGAAGGAGGGGAGTGGAGAGGAATACTAAAGGGCGACGAATGAAATGCCACGAGCATCTCAGGACCTCTGGACACTACCCTCGGCAACCAATCGCCTCCGCAATATTTTGCAAGAACAGGGTCATTTGTGGAACCACCATCGTAAAAGATAAGATGGTCCCTCTCACCCGTGCAGTCCCTCCAGGCTCTCAAAGCCCTGACGGTCTTATTAAGCCCCAGAACGTTTATGGATCTCTTCATGTGCATTTTATGGGGTGCCTCTTGACGTACTGCTATCATTGCATGCTTACAGGTAGGAACAAACTTCTGTCTCAAGCTCCAGTAGCAGGACACGTTCCTGGGATACATCCCAGGATAATTGGGTGATTGTAATTTGCACGTTTTCCTGTAGCACTCTTCGAACTGTCGCGTGCAGTAGGTTCCGGGAGCTACTTGACCCCGTTCCAAGGGAGATGCGGGAGATCCGAAACGAACTATGGCCTCTCGGCGAGACACGAACCGGAACCGCAGCCGAAACTGGAAAGGCGACTGGGGATTCGCGAAAAGTTTAACGCTCGCGGTGACCGTCGCCGTTTCACTGTAATACGCCGCGGGACCGGAAGACACCCCGCACCATGAGCCACCCGTAAAGGGTCGACCGAGTTCGCTCAGTTGCATGTAGCCGTCAGGACATCCGTCCAAACCCTGAGACTCGTAGCGGCCCACCTTGAACTCGTCGAAAATGAGCTGAAATAAAATAAATATGAGTAGCTTTAAATTATAGAAAAACCGGAACCTTGTCATGGAATTGTTTTCTAAAGTTTCAGGAGAAATATAAAGATGCTTCTGGAAATGCAGTTTATATATTTTATTTGATAAAAATATATTTAGAATGCAAAAATTATAACCGATTAAAGACAACTTGTTACTAATATTTGAAAATATATTATATCTCACCCTTCGACATGTTTCAGAAAGTTTTTTTTGTTTTATTTTTCAAGTTCGTTTTAGCGAAGACATGAATACTTGTTAGAGCTTGTTAATTACTTAGCAGTTTTTGTTCATTTGCAACTGCAGACCTCCTGCTACAGAAAAAAAATACGAACCGAGACAAAGTAGAAAGCAAAAACCGAAAAAACAAATAAAGTTAAAAGCATCTTCTTCCGAGAAATTATCTGCGGCAGGGCCGTTTCTCATCAAGTTGAGCCGGCAGTTTTAAAATCTCTTCAGACTACTCGTGAATAGTTCATTAATGAAGACAGTCTTCGTTTTAAGCAAATGCTTAAGAATTTAATATTAATAAGACAAGTCTTTCTTTAAAACGACGCCACGCGATGCTCTCCTCAAAAATAAAATACAAATTTATTTCAATACGCTCCATCCCTTTAAAATTATTCAAATGTACCAATTCACCTTCACTCCGCCGGCAATCCTAAAATGTTTTGTATCACACGGTTTCTTTTTAAACAATAAGAGGGAACTTTTTTAAATGAATCAGAAACGCGATCTCGGAGCAAATATTAAATGAAAACGGAAACTTTTTTAAATGAACAAATATTAAATGAATGCTATCTGTATAACAGAAATTAATACCAGGTAAAAATGTATAAATTACGTCCTGTTATTCCAAGTCCAAATCCACGGAAAAACGAAATGTGTATTTTTAATAAAAATATTTTGCGGTGCATTCCGAAATGAAATTAATAACAATTGTAATAATGAATATAGCTTAAAGCTACGTTTAATGCATATTCCGCTAAATTATTTACTTTTCATTTAGTTACTGCTAAAGTGTTTTAATGTTTTGGTTGGATATATATTTCGAGCAACTAAAAACATATTTAGAAAATTTTATTGAAAAGTTTGGTGGAGGCGCCGGGACGATTTAAAATAAAGGGTATAATTTGCCTATAACTTCGATTTTATTGAAGTAGATGAGTGAATTGTCTACTTTAAATTATATTTTCTTTACGTAAATGCAGATAGGAATGCTAGTTCATATATTTTTTTACAATTAAACTACAATTCGTAATAATATGTATAGACAACCCAACATACAGTAAAGTTTGCAATTCTATTAATGGAACTATTAAGAAAGTTAGAAAAAGCTTTTTCTCACCAATATTGCTCTTTTATGTGAAACTTAATACTATTCTCGACCTATCCAAAATCACGTAGGAATAATTGATTATTTAGCAATATTTTTAAAGTTTGATTGCAAATCGTTGCAAATATAATTACTGAAGCTACATATTTTCGACATATTATGGATCACGGAATATTGAGACAGAATTAAAAGAGGTCAACATAGGACATCCCTACACAGAAATCCCCAACAAACTCAAGCAAGCGAGACAAGCTCAAAATTTTCAGCCGGCCCTGGCATAACCCCGGCTACGACCCTGGCTAAACGAGCAGGCACGTATGCACGCTTACATGGAATGGACTGGCAGAGGGTCATCAAACGAGGTCAGAACTTAAATATAATTCCGTTATCGGCCAGTTTTGAGAATGCCTAAACGAAATTAATTGCTTATTGTGGCTCCCAGTTGGCGTACTCGGCGGACAAAGGTTCGATTATAACCGCGATCAGATAACGAGAATTACAACAATGCAATTTAATTGTGTCCAACTGGTCACAACCGACGGCTAAACGAGGGCTTATGCATGTGTGTATTGGGGTGGGCGCCTTCGCCCACCATTTTCAGCCGGCGCTGTTCTATAATTATTACTACCTTTGTGTAAGCCGTTGCTGTCGTTACAGGTCACCAAAAATATTCGCGCTACTGTTTCGTTTTGCATAAATGCAATCAGACGAGAATTTGGCTCGCATTGCACTAGAATCAGCCATGTCCAACCCCATAGCCTTCTCCTAACATAAACAGCTCATAAAAATCTTCCATAATAATGGATGACTTCTACTTTAAACTACGATTAAATGATAATATTCTGGACAACGATAGTAACCCTAAAGAATCCTTCTATTCATTAATTTGGACGACTTACTAGTGAACATGCTGCAGAATATTATATTATGAGAGGAGATAGCCACACCAATTATGTTTACAAAACTCATTTTGATCATTAATTAAACTCGTAAACCAATGAGTGGGAACTTAAAAAAAGGCACACAGATACAATTTTTGAGAGAACATTCAGAACGGATGGGAAATCTCTAATATTTAAATCCTGACACTCCTGGTGCGCATCAGAGCCGATTCAATCAGCGCAATTTGCTTTTTGTTCGTTTTAGTGTTTTTCTGAGGCCATAAGATGACCCCTACTTCCGGACTGAGTGGTCCGATCTCAATGGCAGTACATTCAAAATTTTCTAGAGACAGTGTGCTCTGCGTAAAGTGTAAAAGCGCCCACCTACGAGGTTCCGTTTCGGAGTTATGGCTGTCGGAAGTGGTGGCAAACTGTTGTCTTCGAAATCGACAATTAAATATTTAAGAGAACATATCTGGCGAACTATTGAAGATAGCGCAAAAATTCTTTCACCAACGGTTGGCCCGCACCTAAGTGTACAGGAAAAATTCAATTTCGAAGAAAAAAAAAATTAAAAATTTTCGAAAATTTTGAATTTTTTATCAACACCGAATGCGACCGTATACGGTCCATATCGTTCGCACTGAGACGGGGCATCCGCCTGTGAAAGAATTTTTCCGATAAGTCGTACCGTTTTCCAGCTACAGCTCGCAAAACGTCAGTTTTAGGACCAGTGCGCTCGCAAACATGCCCGCGATTAAAAATCCATAGCTCCCCAGATGTACGTCCGATCCGTACCAAAATGGGCTCGTTCGAAGCGCAATGAATGCGGCAAGTTTTCGACGGAGGCACTATTAAATTGTGACACTCCTGGTTCGCGTCAGAGCCGACCCAATTCGCGGAATTTACTTTTTGTTCTTTACAGTGTTTTTCTGAGGCCACAAGATGGGCCCTGTTTCCGGACTGAGTGGTCCGATCACAATGGGGGTACTATCAAAATTTTCTAGGGCTACTGTGCTCTGTGCCGAGAGCAAAAGCGCCCACCTACGAGGTTCCGTTTCGGAGTTATGGCTGTCGGAAGTGGTGGCAAACTGTTGTCTTCGAAATCGACAATTAAATATTTAAGAGAACATATCTGGCGAACTATTGAAGATAGCGCAAAAATTCTTTCACCAACGGTTGGCCCGCACCTAAGTGTACAGGAAAAATTCAATTTCGAAGAAAAAAAAAATTAAAAATTTTCGAAAATTTTGAATTTTTTATCAACACCGAATGCGACCGTATACGGTCCATATCGTTCGCACTGAGACGGGGCATCCGCCTGTGAAAGAATTTTTCCGATAAGTCGTACCGTTTTCCAGCTACAGCTCGCAAAACGTCAGTTTTAGGACCAGTGCGCTCGCAAACATGCCCGCGATTAAAAATCCATAGCTCCCCAGATGTACGTCCGATCCGTACCAAAATGGGCTCGTTCGAAGCGCAATGAATGCGGCAAGTTTTCGACGGAGGCACTATTAAATTGTGACACTCCTGGTTCGCGTCAGAGCCGACCCAATTCGCGGAATTTACTTTTTGTTCTTTACAGTGTTTTTCTGAGGCCACAAGATGGGCCCTGTTTCCGGACTGAGTGGTCCGATCACAATGGGGGTACTATCAAAATTTTCTAGGGCTACTGTGCTCTGTGCCGAGAGCAAAAGCGCCCACCTACGAGGTTCCGTTTCGGAGTTATGGCTGTCGGAAGTGGTGGCAAACTGTTGTCTTCGAAATCGACAATTAAATATTTAAGAGAACATATCTGGCGAACTATTGAAGATAGCGCAAAAATTCTTTCACCAACGGTTGGCCCGCACCTAAGTGTACAGGAAAAATTCAATTTCGAAGAAAAAAAAAATTAAAAATTTTCGAAAATTTTGAATTTTTTATCAACACCGAATGCGACCGTATACGGTCCATATCGTTCGCACTGAGACGGGGCATCCGCCTGTGAAAGAATTTTTCCGATAAGTCGTACCGTTTTCCAGCTACAGCTCGCAAAACGTCAGTTTTAGGACCAGTGCGCTCGCAAACATGCCCGCGATTAAAAATCCATAGCTCCCCAGATGTACGTCCGATCCGTACCAAAATGGGCTCGTTCGAAGCGCAATGAATGCGGCAAGTTTTCGACGGAGGCACTATTAAATTGTGACACTCCTGGTTCGCGTCAGAGCCGACCCAATTCGCGGAATTTACTTTTTGTTCTTTACAGTGTTTTTCTGAGGCCACAAGATGGGCCCTGTTTCCGGACTGAGTGGTCCGATCACAATGGGGGTACTATCAAAATTTTCTAGGGCTACTGTGCTCTGTGCCGAGAGCAAAAGCGCCCACCTACGAGGTTCCGTTTCGGAGTTATGGCTGTCGGAAGTGGTGGCAAACTGTTGTCTTCGAAATCGACAATTAAATATTTAAGAGAACATATCTGGCGAACTATTGAAGATAGCGCAAAAATTCTTTCACCAACGGTTGGCCCGCACCTAGGTGCACAGGATAAATTTAACTATTTTACCTATTTGAGTCCGCACTTAAAAACTGATGATACCATGAGATTCTATGTACATTTTTACAGAATAATTAGTTTTTAAAGCGTAGTAAACGCCATTCAGTTCGAAATGATTTTAGGAACACTTTTTGTTTTTAAATGATTTTGGATATCTTGGTAAAAATAGTGCCGGAAGGTACCTATTTGACGCCACAGTTGAAAACCGCTAGAGATAAGCACGGAG